CAACATGTAAGCATTTTGAGCACAGATTGAGAGGATAGCTGAGATAATCAACTCGGTGTTTTGGGTATTTCTTGGGATGAGTGCAAAAACTCTCCCTTGCTCGATGTTTTCTTTTCCTGTAGCAGGTCTTTTATTGGATTTTAGTGTCAGAGCTAACCCGGATGAACTAGTAATGGATCTATTATCACCTTGGCTAGGTTGTGGACAGTTCTTTTCTAAATGGCCCATTTTCCTGCATAGGAAGCATGCCTCAAAAACCCAATAACAAACTCCTCAATGTTTCTTTCCACTATTTGGACAAGTTTGTATCACATTGCCGCCTTGGTTGAAATTGTTGAATGCTCCCATGTTTGGCCTTTTGTTTACTGTGGCTACTGGTCTCCTGCTCATTTCAAATGCTTGCCTTTTTCCTTTCCACCCGAAGGATTTATTTTGTGCAGCTATGTTGAATTCAGACATTAAGGCCCGCTCCAAAACATCAACATACATGGGCAACTTTAGAACATTGACCCTTTCTAGAATAGATTCCTGGAGTCCCCCTCCAAAGTTTTGGCCTTCTTGTACTTAGTATCCACCATGTGTGGCACAAATCTAGGTAACTCAGTGAATTAAGCCTTGTGCTCAGCCACGATTCTGTTACCTTGTCTCAATCTTTCAAATTTTGACACTTTATGATCCCAAACACACAGTGAAAAATACTTTTCAGAAAAGATTTCTAAAAATTGAGCCCAAGTAATACCTCATTTCTCGTCTCTTACCAACATCCACCATCTTCGTGCTTCTTCCTCTAAAGTGTAGGCAACAAGCAAAACCTTTTCACCTTAGTACATTGAAAAACATCAAATAACTTCTCAAATCCTAAGATCCACACTTCGGCTTTCAGTGGATCAAGTACACCCTCAAACTTCAAAGGCTTCGTCTTTTTAAATTCCCTTGTAAGGGCTATGGTTCGATCCTCCATTAGATTGGCCTAAATTGGTTGTTATTGTTATTCTTGCCTTTGTGGAATTGCAAGTTCTTGTTGTAGTGGTGGCTATTGATGTTGTTGCTGCTGCTACTGTTGTTGTTGTCATCTCAATGTTTCAAACAAACCTTTGAATAACCTTTCTAACCATTCTATGCAAGTTATAGATGAGTCTACCGTTTTGTCGGCTCTTGTCCTCACCGTGATTCTATGCACATGAACATAAATTATAATGTTCACAAAATGCACATGTATACAAATATATATCATGTTTAGTGCATGATTCATGAATGCACACCTTGTTATACAAACTCACAATATGAATGCAATTCCAAATATTCATTCCAAGGAATCATATTGCTCATATGAACAAGGTGCATAGGTATAGGTAAAGGTTAACTAGTGCTCTGATACCACTCTGTCACAACCTCATCCCATCCCTAGAGGATGGTGAGGTGACCGGCTAGTAATCTGCATTATTGAAGGCCTAACCTGACAAATCTCGAAATGGACTAAGATATAATGGGGCTTTAAGCGGAAATTTCATTGTTAAATTCATGAAGTCCATTAGAGCAATGCATAAGTAGATATGAAATGAAACAAACAGTCTTCATTGCTTAACTTCTAAATAATTTGCATTATGTACATAGATTACAAAAGTACAAAAGTATCAAAAAAGAAAATAAAAGAAAAGGTTCTTCAAAACAACTTCTCAAAAACAAGCCCTTACTGCTACTTTTCATACTGATCGCCTATATATATATAAGGGTGAGGGGTGAGCCAAAGGCCAGTCAATAATATCAAAGTAAAGTGGTAAATGAATTAATTCCAAGCTCATTTGCAAAGTGTCACATCATATTACATTTTAAATTATTCGAATATTTCGTACTAATAACTTATAATCAAAAGCATTATAACATGGTTACATCCATAGAGCAAAACAAAACAACCAATTCTAGGTCGTCAAATAGAGATCACAATAATGGCCATGGTGCGAAAATATATGTCCTTCAATGGTTAGGACTCACTAAGGATGCCACTACTAGATTTATCAAATAGGGGATATCAATTCATTCGTAACAAATTAAGGATTTCATAAAAATATAAGAAATTATCAATATTTTCAAAAACTAGTTTTGAAACATAACTTTTCAGTAACATTACTCACAAATGGCTGGTGCTTGGAGTTACTCTTTTACGATTTCAGCCTACATAACATGAACACCAGTATTGATGAAGCAAAAGTAAAACAATTAAACTATCCTAACTCCGCTTTTCTTTTCTAATTAACTTGATTTAAGTCGGTTTCTAGTTAGGGCTGCAAATGAACTGAGCGAAGCAAAGCTTTGCTGAGCACGAGCTTGGCTCAATAAGAAACTAAGCTCGAGCTCGACTCGGGTTGGCTCAGCTCAACTCAATATTTTTTTTTTAAATATTATTTATATTATTTACATTATTTAATATATAAATAATGTATTTATACTATTATTTATATATATATTTATATATTATTTAATATATAAATAATATATTTATTATATAATTTAAATAAAGATAAACGAGCTGAGCTTGACGAGTGGAGCTTATGCGAGCTCGAGCTCGGCTCATTTACTAAACAAACCAAGTTGAGCCAAGTCCTTAACGAGCCGAGCCAAGCTTGTTCATAAACAGCTCTGTTCATTTGCAGCCCTATTTCTAGTTGTGTTTAACTTTTACTTAGGTTCAAACATGCATAAAGGTGTTCGGAGGATCAAAGGAATAGAAAAGAAAACAAAACAGAAAAAAGCTCTATTTTCTACATGTGCGGGAGGTCTGGACCGCACGTGCAATTAAAGCAGAATCAAAAATGGGGTCGGGCTAGGTTGGTCAAACGTGCGTGAATTACTTCTACACGTGTGGAAGTGGCCATGTTGGTTTTCTTCATGTTCTTGACCTTCCTAACTTGGTTTTCTTCATTCTCAAACTTCAAAACATGATTTCTAAGGTGCAATAACATACATATACGATGCACGATCTATGGAAAAATATGTTTATGCATGGAATTCAAAGTTTCAAAAATCAAAACATGATTTTTCTTCAAAAATTCTTCAAGATTCATTCTTGTTCATATTCTTTCTCATTCCTTCATTTTCAATTCTCTAAAACAATATTTCAAGGCTCCAAAACGTGAAGTAATGATGGAAAACCTATAAAAGCTCATTTGTATGCAACAATCGCAAAACTTAACCAACTAAAAGCAAGTTTCAATCCATGAATTCATCAACCTAGCTTGTTTCCATACTTCCTCCATTTCTCTTCATTTTAATCCTTTTAAATCTTAATTTAGATGAATTTCTAGCTAGATTAAAGCAACAATATTTGGTAGAGGGTTGAGTTTCTTACATATTGATGATTTTTTTTTTCTTGAATTTCTTGACTTGAATTCAAACTCCTTTTAATTTTCTTCCTATATCTCCTCTTTTTCTCTTTTCTTTTCTTCTTGCTCTCAAGAACACAATTTCTTCCAACTGCTCTATCTTTCTCCATCTTTCTCTCTTTTGTAGGACTTAATTAGCTTAAGTTAATAATCACTCCATTAGCTTAATTAACCAAACTTAGCCATAATTAATCATACTTAGCCTCTAATCCTCATTAACCTAATTAATCCTACTTAGGCCCTGGTTAATCTTGCTTAACTTTTACTAATCTGGCTAAATTTCTAATTAAGTACTCTTTAGACTATATTTATTAGACTAAGTTCATTAAACTCCTCACTTTGGGTTTTCTAAATCATCTAGGCGTTCAATTCTCAAGTCAAGGAATTTCCCTAACTCGTCCACTTACTAAATTTCCTATATTTAAGTTTCTTGTTTAAGTTCTTCTAAGTTACCTAGGTGTTCTGTTCATATCCCACAAAGTCTAAATTCTTTTCTAGCTAGCATATCACATGTACAATACAAGATAACACAATCAAATTCTTAACATGAATGAATGTATAGATGCGATGCATGACTCGATTGTCACATCTTACCCCCTAGACCAAGCCATTAGATTCTAGATTTTTGGTGAGCAAGGTTTTCCTCAACCCTACTTAACTCCACATACTTACTATAATTACCCCTCTCAACCCTTGTAAAAGGAGATTCATGGGATCTTTGTCAAGTTTGATTTGGAAATTTCCAAAAGCGAATCTAGCATGGTTAACTCTAGTTGAAATCTCACTATACTCCTTATTGATTGATTTCAGAATGGGTTTGAGAATTCTCAACTTCTGACAAACTCTAAACATAGGAGAGCCCCTAATATATATGTTCCACACACTAGCAACACTAGGAAGGACAACCTCATACGTTTACCCAATTAGCCATCTCCATTGAGACTCTTTTTCCACTCCTAATTACCACCACCATTTGGCCAAAAGTTGCATTCCTAAGTAATAGTTTTGCAATACCAAGACTCCCATTTTGTATATTATCAATTAAACACTCCAAGTTATTATTTATGTCTTCCTTTTAGTCTCCACATCTTCCCAAAGACACCTTATTTGTATCTTTTCCAACTCTTTAGCAACTCTAATTTGTACTCTAAAGAGAAAACCATGTAAGCTAATGTAGTATTTTGAAAATGTCAGCATTGTAAAAGTATCTCAAAATGAAAAAAGGATATTTATCAAAGGATTATCTTTAAATTGAATGGCCCCAATTCAGTTACATCATTCTATATAACAATTATATATACTTAAAAATTCATGAAGTTTATAAAAATTTAGGAACGTATCAATCATGCAAGGTTTATGTGACTCATTGGTGAGTGTTATGCAAAAATAAGTTACAATAACAAATTGCATTTAATACAACCTAAGTTTAGTGACAATGTTCTATCTTTTTTCCTAACTATTTACGTTTAATGACAACTTGTGTATGATACTTGAACACATTTGGTTAGTTATATCGATCATGATGAGTTTAATATGAACATGTGTTTTATGCCTATGCAAATCAACTTTTGTGGTATGAAAACGATTTAAATAATTCTACATTTTATTTAAAACTTGTAGGAGGAAGTGGATGAAAAGATGAGAAGGCTAGAACTACAGATGATGCAAACCATGGACATGTATCATGCAGCTTGCAAAGAAGCACTCACAGCCAAACAAAAGGTAGTGAGAGCTTTATTATGCTTTGAGCACATAATGGTTTTGCATTTAACATCCACTTTGCATAATATGGGTCAAAATGGTTCTATTTTCCTTTCTTCTTCTTCATCTTCTTCTTCTTCTTCTACTTCTTCTTCTCTATTGTTGCGAAATTAAAAAAGGGTTAATTATACTCAGATCGCTTCAACTATTAACAAATCACTTTGACCCCCCTCCCCCAATCTACAAACAAACATTTTGACCATTTCAACTATGAAAAATGTACAAATACACCTCCTTTGAAGGTAGTCTGGAAAAGGTGATACATTTTTATAGTTGTGTGGGACAAAATATATGGGTTCATAGATGAGGGGGTCAAAGTTATATTTGCTAATATTTGAGGGGGTCTTGGTGTAATTAATCCAAATAAAAATTAGCAATTTGAATCCTAGATGCTCATAACAATAGAAACGGTTGTTTAACATATCAAATAGTCCAATTCTTGTCAGCATCACTAAAATTAATGTAAACAATAGATAATATACCTAACAGTACATAGAAATAAGAACATGACATGAATATCTAAATTATAACATGGTAAAATAAAATTTAAAATTTACAATCAAATCTAGTTTGTAGGCTAAAGAAGATAAATATAGTATGAATTAAATAATATTGCTCTAACATTATAATTAGTATGCCTTTATGGTTTTTATTTAGGTAAGGGAACTTGAACTTGTGAAAATGGAAGATGAAAGGAGATTAGAAGAAGCAGAAAGGGCCAAGAAGAATGCCCTAAGGATTGCAGGGGAGGAAAAAGATAAGTGTAATGTAGCACTTAAGTTGGCAAAAGCAGCTTACAGGAAAGCTGAGAGAGAAACACAAAAAAGGCTGAATGCAGAAACTAAAGCATTTAAAGAAGTTGATGAGGACAGGAAGACGATGTTAGAATACTCTTTAGGCCACTCCAATATAGTCCTCAAATGCCAAAGCCTTCTTCATATTATGGTTGTGCTTCTTATATTTTATTTTTATTTTTTTGAATTGAGATGAACTTGATCCAATTATTTTATTATTATTTTGTCCAGAATAATATATATATATATATATATATTTTACGAGAACTAATGAGTACAAAGGAAGTGCATCAAGAGTACAATAAAAGAAAGCCAAACAAAGTTGCATCATTACAAAAGATTTCATCCAACTAAGTTGGCACATATTCTCAACAAGTGATATGCAAAATCCAAGCCAAAAGGAAATCTAATGGAACTTGGCAAGCTGTCAACAATCTCCCATGATAAGGAAAATGAAATCTAATAATACCATACCTAAAACAACAAAACCTGACTTCAGAGAAATATTAGAATAACAGAAAAAAATAAGTCAAGCAAACCCGTATACCACAAAATAGGAACAATAAAAGCTACCCCAAAGTAGTAAAACAAAATATGCAATCCAAGTTAGTAAAAAGCAGCAAGAAGCAACATGATCCAACTATAAGAAAGATGTAAAACACAAAGTGCCTGTTTGGTAGAACTTAAAAGCTGTTTATTTCAGCTTTTAGATTATTTTAAGCTATTTTGGTGTATTTGGTAGAGCTTAAAATCACTTTTTGTAGCTTAAATTAAGCCAAAAAAGTGATTTTTGGCAGAGTGGCCTTTCGGGTGCTTCTGGATTGAGCTTAAGCGGGAAGCTAAAAATTAAGGGGCAAAATTACTTAAATGCCCCTAGTCAATCTCAACTATTACCCAAAACTCAACTATATAAACCAAATTATCAAACACTATTCACTTGAGAGAGAAAGAGGAGAGGCGATTTTCAGGCGATTTTCAGGCGATCAAAATAACTCAGCAGGAGATTTCCGGCGAGGAGGTGATTTCCAGAGCTCTTTCTCTCTCTCTCTCTCTTTCTCTCTCTCTCTCACAAACTAGAGGCGGTGGTTAAGGCATGATCTGCTCCGTCGCCGCCTCCCGTTACAATAGCCACATCTTGTCACCAAGGAGCGATTAAGAGATTCAGAGATCCCAGGGACCCAAATCCCTAACTATTAAGAATACTTATACGTAACAAGAACAAGAACATAACCCATAGATTTCTAATACGAGGATTGTATGTGTTATATTATATACACATAGAAGCCAAGTTCACGAGATTCGTGGAGGGGCAAGAAGGTTGCAATGGAGATTCTTCGAAGGAAGTTGCTTCAGAGGATACCACTTAATCAAGTTCGTACTTTCCTCTACCTCCAATCATGTGTATCTATATCTATATGTTTGTATTTCTAGATTATTGTTTTTCTGGGTGTGATTTCAAAATGTAAATTTTTGTACGTTTTAATGGAAGATTGCTTTTTCTTTTCTTTCAAATTCCTAACTTGTATGAGTGGATGTTGAGATGCTTGTTTTGCGTGGTGATGGAGGAGATGGATGAGCTGAGAGAGGGTTTCTTGCAAACCACCGACGGTAACTACGGCTTCGGCAAAATCAGATCTAGGGTTTTGCAAAATAGTAATGAAAAAAAGATTAAAAAAAAGAAAGAAAAAAAAACAATTTATTTCAATTAACTTCCATTTAATTTTTAAAATAAATATTTCAATTAATATTGAAATAATTTGTGCAATTTATATCCATTAAATAAATTACACAATTTATTTCACAATTATTGATATAAATTGCACAATTGCATAATTTAAATAAAGAAATAAATTGCACAATTGTTATATTATTAATTGTAATGAAAAAAATTTAATAAAAACATAATCACAATTTTTTAAAAAAAAATTAAAATTGAAAAAAAAAATGAAATACAAAGAAAAATATTATAACTTCTACTAAATAACTAATTGAAATTAATATAAAGAAAAATAATATGTAATGACATCACAACATTAATATATATATATATATACATGGATATTAATTGATATTAATTGTAATGAATTAATGAATTAAATAAAAAAATAATGATGCTAATTAAGCCATTCATTGACACTAATTAATTTATAATAAAAAATGAAATAATTTTATACTAATTGATACTATTAATGAAAATAATAATTTTTGTAATACTAATTATATTAACTTTTATTAATGAAATAACTTTTTTAAAATTAAACTGAAAAAAAATGTCAAAATAATCGTTTTTATATCATATAAGGGCAAAAAGGACAATTACACAGCAAAAAGTTATTTGACACTTATCAACCAAACACTACTCTGCTACTTAAATTCATAATCTCACAGTTGCACCAAACAGGTTAATAGCTTATGTTCATAACTATAAGCTATAATCTATAATCTATAATCTATAATTACTTTTTCTACAGCTCTACCAAACAGGGCCAAACCATCTCAGGTGCAACAAAAGCTGTAACCAAGTGAATGAAAGAATTCTAGTAGAGTAGATATTGTCACACCCAAAATCCAAGTGATGACCGGTTGTGGCCCACAGGGCCTTAGCCCAAGGTACACGAATACCTAAATATGAATCCATAGTCATTAAGAATAAATGTAACAATAGTCCGGTCATAAATAAATTAAACTCAATCCAATGACAAATCACAAATATAAATGGCAAAACCAGCCATAACCAACTTTCGAAAATATATAGTAAATGGGACATAAACAGCCACACAATAAAGAAATTTTAAATAAAACTCAACCACAATGTATGCGAAGAAATTAATGGATCTTACTAAAATGAATCCTAAAGGTCCATGCAATAGAGTCTCTGCTGAGCTAGGAGTCTAACTCTAAGTCCTCCTCTCACATGAAATGTTAAAAAACTAAGTTAGTTGATAGCTCAATGAGTAAAAACATGGACAGTAAACACAATTTTGAAAACAGGGTTCAGTTCCAAAATAAGATCTATATAACATAAACTAAATTGGCATACTGTTTTGATAAAGATAATCTGATTCAAAATGAAGTTCCACAATTTAATGTTTAAAAATATTCATGTCTCTCAAAGAACATAACAAATGACATTCTCTACTTAAATCAGACATCAACATAATTGAAAAATCTAGAAATCCTCTAGATGTTGATTTGTGATTATGTATCAATTTTAAGCAATAAAACAATCCCAAACAATCAAGACAAATCGACACAACGATTTTAACGTGGAAAAACCACAATTGGACACCTCCAATTGTGATAAAAAATCACGGGCAACAACCACAAAACAATCCATTAAGAAGATATAAAGGAATTACACAGGTATACTCTCAATTACCTAGCGAATCCACGCCCGAATTGAACCAACCTCTATGTGTCTCTTCCAACCCCGTCTACACATCGGAATTGTCTTGACGATGAGCCACTCTGGAATCCACCAAAGCTTCAGGCTTGAATTCTTCAGAATCCACCGAAGAACAATTCTCTCTTTTGTGTAGAACAAACAAATAATCCTTTGATGTATACTCTTTAAACCATGAGTTGAATACTCAATTAAAACGTCAAAGAAAACTAACAAAATATCCTCAGATATAAACCTTAGAATCCAAAAAGAAGATCTGGAGGACTTGTCCAAGTTTTGGGAGAAAACCAACTACTTATAGAACACCAAAGTAATCCTAGTTTTGGAAGAAAACCAATTCCTTACAGAAATCCAAGAATCTATGTTCGCGTGATCCGCTCGAGCATGAGACTTCCCGCTCGAGCAGAGGCTTCCAAATTGTGTGATTCATATAGGCTTCCCGCTGTTTCACGCTCGAGCGGAAGTTTCCACGCTCGAGCATCGAATCACACCATCCAATACTTTTTCAGGCAAAGCAGAGATGGTATGAGCTTGCAATCCCCGCTCGAGCGTCACTTTCCCCGCTCGAGCGGGACGACCAAAATTGGAAAATTTGGAAAACTAGATCTTGTTACAACCTCGGTTTTGATCCATGGAAATTGACAAAGGCACGATTCGGGTTGGATTCGCATCTAATAAACTCATAGTTTCACTAAAATAAAAGGTGCAAAAACAAATACAACTGAAAGGAGTTTTGTCAAACGGGGTTGCCAAGAATAAAACCTAACAATCTTCCCCTTTGGCAATGTCGTGACAAAACACACCTAACAAATAAAATCCTAAACACCCCAACACATAACAGCCAACAAAAGCCAACATCTTTCTCAAGGTCATGATCTGCAAAACAGTTATTAGTGCCACAATCTCCAAAACAACTATTAGTCCCACAAGAGTATATGAAAAAGCAATAGACATATGACGCGATTATCTTGAAACATGAGATGGAAAACATGAATAGATGAAAACTAAGACTCATGAAAAACAACTCTAAAACAACAAAAGCAAGATCATAAACCACACAAGCAATGATATGACGATATAAATACCAGGAACATACAAGAAGGGCAAACAATGCATAGCAACATGCAAAACATATAGCCAATCTCACTTACCAAACATATCAAAGTGTTCATGCTAAACAAACTCTTGCAATGAAAAAAAAAAACCAAACACCCTTACCAACCCAAATCAAGATGAACCAAACTCCCCCTCACTAAAAGCAACCACAAACACTGAAAAACAGTGAACAAGAAGAAAAAAAAAAACAAAAATAATATGGTGGAGCAAGCAAGAAATCTCAGATTTGTACCTTAAAACACACAAGATTATCCAAGAAGCACCATTACAAGAAAACACAATGTGCACAGTCTGTAGAAGATTCCTCATGAAAGAAAATGATGCATTATGTGAAAAGCACAGATCCCATGATAAAAGTGTGTGTGTGACTCTTGGAGTTCGACAAACACTAGATTCAATCTTAGTAGTGATCTGAAAGTTGAACCTCTGGCAAGAGAATCTAAGCACAACTACGGAAAGTCAAACCACTAGGAATCAAGGGGTATTTGGTGAGTAAAGGTGGAGGCTCCCCCTTTTTCTTTCTTTCTTTTGCACATTTTTTCTTTCTTTTGCATATTTTTTCTTCTTC